ATCCAGCAAACAACTTGTTACAGTTCAACTTCAGAATAGAAGAGGGGGTGAAATCGTTGGACAGCGGATATTAATGGGGAATGTGATGATTTCAATCTACCGATATTTGTGATGTGGAACATTTCGGTTGTAATTGGCTCTTCCTTATTGGTAATGAGGCGACCGCTCAATGATATTGAGGTCGTTCTCCCTTGTTTCCTGCTTCTTAGACCCGTGTTTTCTACCTCATGTAGGTTTTGCTACTTCCTCAAGTCGTCGAAACACATGCATTTTCAGACGCTAAAACATAGAGCAATAAATAAACAAAGGCCATGGTGATGGTCATATGGAAATTCAAACAATTTGCGTTATTGCTAGTTTTTCGGAGTCAATAAACGATTGTCCCGCTTTGATCTCCAAACTTTCATTAAGTGTGGACCGTTTCCTCGTTACAACTCTTTATACACAAAGGTTTAGTTCACGTGACTCATCTGAGGCTCTTTTATTGATTAGTTTGAGTTTGTCCCGTTAACATTAACCTCTCTCATTGCCAAAAAACTGGGTTGATCAACCACATTTTGTTGTTCGTTCTGCTGTTCACTTCTATTCTGTAACGCACGAAGGTTGAATTTCAGACAAAAGGATGTTCGCCAAGGTTACAGTTTGTGCGATTCACCACTTTTAAATAGATTATGGTAACTATGAATTCATAGTACAGTACCAACACAGACTCATTTGTTAACTTGTTGATTTGCCTACATGAATATTCTTTTAAAAATTTTCTCCGGCTCTATTTAGATAATGACTTTCTTCAGGTAGTATCTTATCTGCAAACTCATGTAGTTATTCCTGATGACCATATAACTGGCGTAGCCTGCTATACACTATCACTATTCATAGCACTAACACTATACATACCCTTATGCGTTCAAATTCACCACTGATTGTGTCTTATTACGTACCAACCTAAATAACTTATGACAGTAAATTCCGCAACCTTAATAACATTTTGATCTTGCCTGTAAAATGGCATACCTTATGTAACATACTATTATTTCGAAATTAATTACCATTACTGAGAACCCTGTAAATCTGTTTATCTATGTTAATAGGTAATTGAGTCCATTAGAACGCAGTAAATTGCCTACTAAAACTACATAAACATGGTTAAAACGTTCATCTGGCTGTGAGAAAACTCCGGTAAATGAACTAGTATGACGGCCAACTTTTGACTGATGACACGCCGAACACTATACAACACACTTATATGCATTGTTTTGGAAATTAATTTTAATTGTGTGTTGCAGGAAACCCTGCAATTACTTGAACACGAATAAGAACTCGGGAAACTTCGCAGCCGGCACGCGTTAACGGCAACCGTAGCTGGCGAACTTAGCCGCCTCTTATACGTCACAGATGTGACTACAAAAGTTCGCTACCTCGTCGACACTGGCTCAAAAGTTAGCGTTCTTCCCGCGAATTCTAACGACAGGCTTTACGAGTCTGTTTTAAGCTTACAGGCGGGAAACGGAAAACGGATCGCCACATATGGGAAAAGGTACGTTTACCTTAACGTGAGTTTACGCAAACCCATTCGCTGGATTTTCGTTGTTGCAGATGTTTCTATATCAATCATTGGTATAGACCTGTTACAATACCACAATCTACTCATCAACACACTCTCACGAAGGTTAATAGACGGAAACACTAGGCTATACGTTTGCGTAACTCCGTGTTCTGGTTGCAGATTATCCCCAGTCACAATTAAGCACTCCATGGACCCCTTATATCAACCATTACTCGATAAATACTCCTGGAAATATCAACTACAACCGAAATTGCCGTGTGTAACCAGGAATGTTACACATCACATCTCGACTACAGGCCCACCTGTATTCTCATAAGCACGATGACTGGCTCCCGAAAAGCTTAGGTTAGCCAAAAACGAAATCAACCACATGATAGATTTAGGAATAATTGAACCATCAAATAGCCCATGTTCATCTCCCTTGCACATGGTCCCTAAAAAAGACAGTAATGATTGGAGTCCAACTGGTGATTATCGGCATCTGAATGCTAAAACCATTCCTGGTCGTAACCTGTCGCCCCACATTCACGATTTGACAGCTACCTTGAAAGGTACAACTGTCTTTTCGAAAATCGACTTGGTTAAAGCTTATAACCAAAATCCTATGGCTAATGACAACATTCCGAAAACCGCCATTATAACTCCTTTCGACCTCTACGAATTTTTACGAATGCCTTTCGATTTAAGGAATGCCGTTCAAACCTTCCGAAGGTTCATAGATGACGTATTCTGAGGTCTCAACTTCGTACATGTGTATGTTGACGACTGTCTAATAGCAAGTCCGGACAGATAATCACATCTCCAGCATCTTGACATTGTTTTCGAACAACTCGAAAGGCATGGTATTACTGTCAACATTCAGAAATGCCAAATCGGAACCAACTCCTTAGACTTCTTAGGACACACTATTGATTCCCAAGGCATCCGACCTCTTGGAAACAAAGTGGCGGCCATTCTGGATTACCTAGAACCGACCACGATTAAGCAAACGTACTTTTAACAGCCTTGTAAGTTTCTATAGACGGTTCATATCTAAATGCATATCCCTTATGAAACCGTTAACCGATCAACTTCGTGGAAATGCAAAATTAATTAGTCTAAATGACACTGCTCGAAAAGCATTCTCCACAGTTCAGGAACATATCGTTAAGACAACCGTGCTTGCTCATCAGGACACTCAAGCGCCCATTAGTATCGCCGTAGACGCATCCGACTCAGCAATCGGAGGAGTCTCACAACAATGGGTCAATCACTCTTGGCAACCTTTAGGATTTTTCTCGAGACGGTTGCTAGACGCTGAATCTAGGTACAACACTTTCGGTAGGGAACTCCTAGCTATGTATTGTACTGTATGGCATTTCCAACATCCCATCGAAGGAAGAGAATTCACGCTTTTTACCGATCATAAACCCCTTAACTTCTCTTTAAGTTCATTTTCACACAGGTACTCGCCCCGAGAGTCTCGACAACTGGACTACATTTCGCAGTTTACTTCAGATATACAACACATTTCTGGAGCAAACAATGTAGTTGCAGACGCTTTGTCTCGTATTAATTCCTTGAACAGTTTCCAAGGAATCGACATTCTTAAACTCGCCCAACTTCAAAAAGAGGACACTGATCTTCAGCACGAGTTATCCTCGACAGCCTTCAAACTGCGGGCTAAATAGATAGCCAAACGGTTTTGCTGGCCTGGTATGAACAAAGACGTGAGGGAGTGGTCATGCTCCTGTGTAAGTTGCCAGAAATCTAAGGTAATTAGACACAACAAATGTCCCTTAGGCTCGTTCAAAACTCCCGATATTTGTTTCGACCGTGTTCATCTGCATTTGGTAGGATTCAAATGCATACTGTTATCTCTTAGCATGCGTAGACCGTTTTACTCGGTTGCCTGAAGCAGTACTTATCAAGGACATCAGTGCTGAAACAATGGCCCGCGCCTTTGTCGAACGATGGGTAGCTAATTTCGGCTGCCCTTCAACGATCACTACAGACCGCGGTCGCAAGTTCGAATCTGGACTTTTCCGTTGTCTGACCACACTATTAGGAATCACGCGCTTGCGGACGACTGCCTACCACCTACAAGCAAACGGGTTGGTAGAACTTTTCCATCAACAGCTAAAAGCTTCACCATCAGCTACAAACGTTTCACGGTGAATAGAAGCACTTCCACTCGTCTTACTAGGTATCCGCAATGCAGTGAAGGCTGACATTGGATACACTGCATCTCAACTCGTTTACGGAACGACACTCCGACTTCCAGGAGAACTCGTGGATCCTTCAGTTTCTCCGTTGAACATGGATCTAAACTCTTACACGATCAGGCTTACAAACGCAATGCGTTCAGTTAAACCTGCCCGCACTCGACCGCAATCAACTGATGTTCTCGTTCAACCTGACTTACGACATAGTACACATGTCTTCGTTCGTCGAGACTAACATCGACGACCTCTCGAATCAGTATACGAAGGACCCTTCAAAGTTCTTTAATGTGAACTTAAGTACTATGTAGTCGATAAGAACGGCACGAACGATAGCATCAGTATTGGTCGCCTCAAAGCAGCGTACTTAGAAGGAAACCCTATCTACGTCGATTTTCCTTCGGTACAATCGAACGACACGGCTCCTACACTTGTAGTGCCCCAAACGACAGCCGACACACACCTGTGTACTTCATCAGTGTCGGAAAATAAACTTAAGATAACACGTTCTGGAAGAAGAGTAAGGTTTCCAGAACATTTAAACGACTATTGCACGTGGGACACAAACTTTACCTCAAATTTCCTTTGCATTATTTATTATAAAAATTTTTTTAGTACGCTCAATTCTATATATTTATTCTGAAAAAAACCATTGTTTTTACAATCGCTTTTACGCTGTCGCAAGCGTGTTAGTTTGTTTTTTTCCCCTCACCTTGTGTCCTTACGCAAGTACGTGCATTTTGACATGCATTCACAAGTTCTATTTTTTTCTTTTCTTTTCCAGGGCGGCCGGAAAAGAACGATGAAGTTCACAAGGAACCGAAATTTTTATTGCACTTTGTTTCCTTATTACTATGTTGTACGTCACGGTCCCTTAGTGTAAGGAAAGACAACCAGACGCTGCTACAGAAGAGTGTTTACCAACGATAAACTCGTTGGGTTTAAACTTCTGGCTGGCCACGTCTTAGGGTCATCACTACCTCACTGGGGGGAGTGATCTATATCTGTAAATAAATCCTAAAAATCAATAGCTTTCTAAGTGTTCGGCATTGGATGCTGAACACATTGTTTAAGTGGACTTGTTTAGCTGAAGTCGTTCGGCCATGCATCCGTACCAGATAACGTCACGACTCAGCGTGGGACACAGCTCCTACGTTTACTAACCAGATTAGAGCAACCACTTCTCGACACATTGATAACGTATCAAATATATCTTTCCAACCCCTTCACATCTGACTTGATTTTAACACAGTGGGGGACGCTTCGAATATGGAAGGTGTTACTGGTTAATAGTTTTCAAACTAAAATACTGGACGTATCTTCATTACCCTCAGACTTACAATGGGTTCTTGATTTTATTAACCTTTCCATCACTGCACATAATTACTTGAAAACTCATGTTATCAAGCTATTTTAAAGCTATTCTAAAAGCGGGTATTTTCGATTTTTACTACAATATTTGTAAGCTTGCTCATACGAATCTATGCTTTTAGATAAACCCTCATATAGATGAGCACATCAGATGAACGAAGTCTTAATTACTACATAGCAGGGGTGGAATCCCCAGCCAACCGAAAATTTGAATAACTCGCCGTAGCGCCGGGGTTTGGGTTTTTGTTGAGTAACAAGCTATGCTTATATCGTAAAGATGTAATACATACCTTTACAAGGATTAAAATTCGTTGTGCATTGTAAAAAATGGGTTTACTGTTAAAATAAAGACTTGGTCTACATAATTTATTTAAATTTCAGAAAATTGTCAGTTAGCGTACACGTAGCACTGATTGTGATCTATTCATCATGTTTGCTGATCTTACTGTTCCAGATTAGGCAATCAGATTTCAATGGCCATCGTGATGTTACAATGGGTGAGTTCTAGATAGTGTTGTGGAAATCACGGCAATTTAAATTGTGGCGAATAAATGAAACAATGAGATACCATAGAATCTTTGTCCACAAAATGCTACTGTAGTATAGTAGTACAGGACTTCATATATATTCACTTTTAAACTAAAATAAACACTCTTGAAAAGGATTCAAACGCGACTGGAAAGCAACATTACATTTCTCTCAAGCCATCGGCGCGCCTATTTGATTACCAGAACATCTGACTTCGCTGGTTTTTACTATGGTCTTGGTTGTTACTGATGCCTAGGAAGAAATCATTGAAGCTCAATAACACTGGGTGTATATTTTGTTCTGAAGTTGATGAATATCCACTATTAGGACCTATTATTGAGAAAAATGGTTTCAAAGTGCATACAAACTGTATAGTAAGTTCAAATTTGTGAAATACTCTACTCTTGGAGTTTGCCGCCAGTGGTTTGTCCCAGACGAACACTGAGAATGAATCCCCAGACGATTTCATACTTGGATTCGCTGTTTCTTCAATTCTCAACGAACTTAGGCGTGGTCGTAGCCTAAAGTGTTCTGTATGTCGTCTCCCCGGCGCCTGTGTTGGATGTGTTGTTAGCACTTGTCACACCACCTTCCATCTCCCTTGTTTAATTAAAGCTCAAGGGATAACAATATTTGAGGGCAACTTTCCTTCCTATTGCCGCCGTCACGCTCACAGACAGGTATGTTTAGGCTTATATATTTTGTACTAATTCATTGTGCGCTATCAAGCCCAGAATAATTTAATAAGTTATAACTATCTGTGTTTTCTATTCATCGACAGACCTAGTTACTATTTTATGTTCCGGATCTAAGTATTTAAGTAATGCAGTCGTACTGCAGAGATGTAGTACTACCAAAAGCCTAGTGGTTCAAGTGATATATTTCTTTCATTCATAAATGGGAAGTGGGATGAAGTTTGATATGGTAAACATAGAGGACCCTAATTAACACGGAGGGGAAGTGTTGTACCGGGACTTTACTATAAATCAAGATGTCATAAATAAATTCTTACCATTTTGACTAGTTTTAAGCTCTCTTAGAAGGTCGCCATCAACTTGAAAAGCCGGAGATACAGCACTATGCACGTACAGGTTTAACGGTCACCAGATTGAAATTAGGGGATTTTTATCAATCAGACTGGTCCACCGCTTTTTTGATGCCTATGTTAATACAATTTACCAGTACACACAACTGTCAATGAACATTTTTTTGCCTGCTATGTAATACACAATAAATCTTCCTAGTCTTTTGGTCTTATCTTCCAATTGTTACATTTCAAAAGTTCTAATTACAAGTAGTGAAATTTTTAGTGAACTTCGAGGGGTTTCGTTAACGTCTAAATTTTGTATAAGGTTTTGACTTAATAACTCTCTTTAAAGCAGCTTCGACATCAGATTAGATAGATTTCTGTGCTTGAAGGTCATTATTGAGTTGTTCTGCTTTGTGATTTACGTTTAGTTTATTTCTATTTTCTCTTTAACAGGTGATAACTCGTGTTATTCACTGTATTCGTTCACTCATTCTAATTATTATCATGTATTAGAATGCTAGGTTCATTTGTTCATAAACATGCTTGGTTGTTTGTGTACTTTGATAAGTTGAGTTCAAATGTCCAGCATGATCCTGTTAGTTTAGATGGTATGTAATATATAGGGTAGGTTGGTTTGCTTATTTGATAGTCTTAAAACCATTCACTCTCCAAAACAAACTATTCATCTCTTATATAAAGGGTAGCCTAGTCTTTTCCCACAGAATGTTTACGTATTATGTTAAACAATACAAAAATGAAATGTCACATCTCTTTAGACTCATCTAATACAAATATAGAGTATGCTTGTTTCGCCTTAGGATTTGGATGGCTGGTTGGCGCAATGCAAGGAACCTCCCTCTTGTTGTATCTGTCTGTTCTCAGTTGTACCGGACAAAGATTTCGAAAACAGTTGTCTACCCATAAGAAGACAAAAATCTGTACCCAACCATTCATTGGCGAAAAAGGAAATTGTTCCAGTTCTCAACGAAATTCGGCGTACAAGACGGTCTTGTGTGGCTCCTTCAACTCCTAAACGAATCACAGTTTCAAACGGAATGTCCTCTGTTAAGAGGAGATATTCTCAGTCCGAGCAAGTTTTATTTTAATGTTTTCATAAGGAATTAATAGGAAATTATTACATGTTAAATACTGTCACAAGATCGGTGAATATACTACATATTGTCACTTTTTGTTATTGACATCTCTTTCTCAATAGAATAATCTGTTAGGTTATAGTGTTTGAATGAGTAGTTTAACACTTAAAGCACCCATTCTTATCTAAATTCTCTAAGTTTCTAAATCACCTGTCTAACAATCAGATTTATTTTGATACAAATTTTTAGTGGGATTCCATATTGTTTTTAACTTCGATCTTAATTTTCACTTTTATAAGCTCTTAATCATTGTACAAAGTTTTGTTGTGTCAGAAAAAACTCGTCTCATCAACATTTCATTAGGTTGTAATGAGAAATCCGACTGACATGTTCAAGATATTTTCTAATTTCAACTCCAAGCATTTGACGCACGATGATGGCTGATGCAAGAGTAAGTTAGGTGGAAGTTAGGAGTGACCAAACCAAGAAATGGCATCAGTCGGTAAAGACACTGACTATTGGACTAAGCCATGTAGGTAGGTGCAGACTTTACCTAATTGGGTCAGCGTAATTATCGTCAAAGACTTTGGGCGACATCGTTCCAAACTGTTCCTAGTCTCGTAGGTGCATTCGCTCTTTATCTTCCCTTGGATTCCAAGTTTCGAGATGCTTCGTGAGTTTTTTATCTTACTAATTTATGCTTCATGAATTATACCCTGAATGTCTCACCTTCGATTTCCACTAATATTTTTACTACCTCTGCTACTCTGAGATTTTCCCTGACTATTTCATCTCTCTGTGCTAATAGGGTATGGCAACTTGAACTGATGTACACATGTGACAGGCTCTACGTTAGGCATGAGTGAATGACTAACTCAAAACATCTATGGAAGTTTAGGAAGATATTCTAGACAATAGTACTGATGGAATAAAAGTCCGATAATTATTTTGTGTGATTGTTTCATCGTAAAATTGACTTATTGCAATTTCTACCGTAAAAATACTTTTCCCGCTCTCTGAAATTCAGAACAGTTACAAAATTAATGCTAAGTTGATCAAGTTTTATGAGTGACTGCTTTCTGTGTGTGTTTGTAACCAATTACAATTTTTATATTTCTCTTCGTCGACTATAGTTAACCCAGGCCATTAATTACAAGTTGACATTGTGTTGAAAGTGTGATTGTAATGCAATCATGCACTTGCAACTCCGGCTTCAATATAGTAAAGGAGACTGCTGCTACCCTCTTGTTCCTTGCTCCGCTAACTAGACTAATAAGTCCAGTTGTATAAAAGCTTTGTTGGTCAAGAGCCGGTAGAATTCAAAATGCGTTTAAAATAACCAGTTTTGTATCGATTACAATGATCATATTTTAGGAAATGAGTAAATTGTCAATGACCACAAATGATAGTAAAAATACATTAAAGGTCCATGAGCAGAGTTTACGTTGAATAAATTAATGTAATGAAAATCCATCTTAATTCGACAATAATTTTCTTAAGTTCTATTTGAGGATTCGACATTCCCAATAGTATGTTGATGAATTCAGTTTGTGTGATTAAAGTTATATATTCGCATTTGTTATAAAATTGTAACTGTCCACAATTGATGGTTTAAAACACTATGGATTCTTTTTTACTTCTAAAAAGTTCATCAAGTCGAAAATTATCTAGGTGAAAAACAACTATTCTCATGCTAATTTATCGGCTTTATGAGATTATTAAGTCAATATTGATTTTCCACTGGAAATAAGGTTATAAATAGGGTGTTGGGCGTTGTTTATAGTGGATACATATCGAAAACATACATCTCTCCTTATTAGGAGGGTAAACCAGCAACATGATTTTAAAATCCGTACCTATTCATACAATCGCGGTTCCAAGTATGCATATTCATATAAATACTATTGCACTCACATTGATCTTTAGCAAATATAGCATTCGGTCTTTTCAATAGATCCGTACTTATTGTGGATTTATTTATATGAATAGATAAATCCACAATATAAATACTGTTGCACATAAATCTATTTTCCATTAGTAAGTTATGTCTTCATTAAACCAGATCTCATCACTGCATTTCACTTTTTATCCTGTACACAACATCAAAGTTTCTAGTAAAACAGCTATACCAACTAACATGCAGATTCACATTTTATCGGATGAATGGCATATTATTACGGACATGGGTTCTCTAAGTATTGCAGCTGAATCCCCCATATGCACTCGTTTTTCATTTCTACTGAATCCGTTTAATATTGAGTTTCTTTTTATCTTGTACCGTTCTCATCCTTTAGCACATCCACTTGGGAGTTACCCGGATCTTCCTCTTCGGAGCCTGAAGAACAAAATCCTGTCCAGCAACCTATAACACATAAAGAATCTGTTACACTGCCCTCATCAATGTCACATATTCCTGGATGGTTGAATGACTACTTTCTGAGTCTTGCTCCTGAAAAGAGGCTTCCTGTCTTTGAGGCATGGAAACACCACACTATCCATGGACTCTGTTGTCCTTTATCATGGATGCATAGAAATTGTATTGCAGGTTTTGCTGTTTCTGCTGCATTACATTACCTAAAATGCCCTTATTGTGCAAATAGAGAGATATTCATCAGGTCTATCATCGATACTGGCATATGGGTCCCAGACCAGTAAGTTACGGTATTATGTCCTTTTTTGTTTATCTAACTCTAAATGTTATACTTACTTGATAGTGCTATCCACATATAAACCTTTGGATACGTTTTTTAAAGTTGCTAGTGGTCTTGAGTGCTGCTAAATGTATGAGGGCGGTTATCACTTCCCGGTTGCCCACACCGTGGAAGGGTTCTTCTAGAGGTACCTGAAAAGGAAATTGGATTAAGAGTGGTCCTAATGACCTGAGAGCGTGACCGCAGTGCCCAAGAAACAACTGCTTGAGTCGGTCACACACGGCCTTTTTGTGGGTAGCTTTTGTGTTAGCTCCGTACTTGTTGGGACCTTACCGCCGGAGACAGATATCCGTGGGATAAGGCGAGGTGTGCATTTTTAGGGTCGACTTTTTCTAACCCCGCCCCTCTTTATGGGAAGGCAGCATCGCTGTTATGCTGGTTGTCTAAAGGAAACACCTTACTGCTGTCACACCTCTGTACAGTCAGCAGTACGACTTCGCCTTCGGACCTTGGGTTTGCTGCTTTTAGTCTTACCGCTCTTCAACCAACCTGCCTGGCATGGTAGGACCTTGAGGGACGATTGTTCCAGCCAGTATAGCTCGATAGGATCATCACGATAGGCAAGCCCGACCACCACATCAAGGTAGCAGCAGCGGTCAGGTTTTCAAAGTTACTGTAATTAATATCCGGTTTCAAGTCGCTTATTCAGACATAATTTAGTTAACAAAATCTGATTTCAAGCAGTGAATTTGTAGCAAAGTCTGACTGATGTTCATCTAAAATACCATGGATGTTGAGGATTTAGTGGCTACATTTACACATTTCCTGTTATATTAGTTCTTTTGTATCAACGGTTTAGAAGTGTAATTAAGCTGTGAAATTATTTCTAGAACTAGGTTTTAACAGTTATTTTACAAACATGACTGCTAGCGATGTACTGAAACCATGACCAAATTGTCGTTTATTCAAGAAGTTTAAAGGGTATTGCAATATAATGGATTGTTCACGGTCATTATAAATGTTAGGCACTTTTATCATTGGAAAGCGTAGTTTGTATATAGTGTCGGTGAGTTACTTAACAATTTTTAATAGATTCAAGATACATGCTATCTATCAATTTCTTCAAATAAACGTATGTTTTCAGTGAAAATTTATTCCGATTATGAGTGATCCTAAATTCTTTGGTACGTTCAAGGGTAGTGAATTTGTAAACCTAACTCGTTTCGTATTTCTTTGTCGACAAAACGTAAATCTATCTTCTGTGCAAAAGTTCCAGACGTTTCTGTAAACATTCTTCAAAAACCACGATCAATCATAGTTCACACAGAGCCTAGCACAAATGTGCAGTAAACAAACACAACATACCACACAACACAACAATTTTCTAAAAAAGGATGAATATGAGGAATAAATAGTATTTAAGCTCAGATTTTAAGGGGAAGATGAGTGAATCCATATACACATAATTCCCATTTAAACATAAACAGTACAAATGTCCACAAAGGAATCAGTTTTCAGCGAATTCGTCATCAGGATATACGATCCTAAATTTATATTAATTCAATAAACAGACATGACGATTTTATAAGATTACAATGCTAGACTTTGTAATGTAAGTAATAACACTATAGAATTGTGTGCGCTTAAAGAGTCGTGTAGAATTGATTAGTTAACATTGAGCTGTAATGTGAATGGAGTAGGATAATTAAACATTATTACAATAATCAAAGTTATTGCAACTAATATCAGATATAATTATCCATAAAATCATGGGGATATGAGAAATAATTAAAAGGAAAGGATATTTTCAAATAAGAAATCAATGGGACGAAAAGAAAGTAATGAAATAATAATGATAATTTTGAAGCCACGGTCCGAACAGTGATAATGAGTACTTATTTTGTACACACTGTTCAGACTTCATTTCACAGATGACAAGGGCTTCTGGTGTTTTAGGGAGTTAATTACAAAAATATATTGTTGCATTTGGATGGATTCTATCAGCAACCTCAATCAACCTGTAGATCATTGGGGTGATTAGAAGGGATTGAATGTTCAAGGATGTTAATCCTAACCGCTTTCCTCTCACATTCGTAGATCCACACTGGACTATGCTTTTGTGTCCGAGTTGAAAGCTAACACTGTATACCTTGTTCCACAAGAGCAGGTGAACTGTTAGATGCACATTGAGGCGATCAGGTGAGGGAGATTATCCTTTACAGAGACAAAAAACGAATCTCTCTTAGTGAATGTTAGACATTTCCTGGTTTGGTCGCCCATTGTCTTCTCCCAACGTTTTCCTCCTCCATTCAACGTTGGACTTCAAAGCGGTCAGACATATGTGAATATTTCGTCACCACTCCAATCAACGAAGATGCGCTACCTCATCAATCGACTCGACGTTTCCTCCTAGTACCCCATATCTAACCTCAGCATTTTTCACCGTTGTTTTACGACAAGCGACCAGTGCCTCGATTTCATGAAAAACCTGCAGCTTATACATGTTTCCGTAGACCACGTTTTACGACCATACAGTAATAGGGAGTGGAATGCTTTACAGTGCAATCACTCTTTGGTTAACAGAGAAACACCTCCTACGTTGCAAGTTAGCTTTCTGAGTCCATCTCTGTGGATGAATTAGTGTTCCAATCAGAAACTAACTTCGCGTAGAACATTAGATGAATGTGAAGATTTATGTAGTTTTGAGGTTTCAGTGAATAATGTTTGAGACGTTTCATAAACTATAAAACTTCTTACATTACTGTGTCTTACCTTCTGGAGCAGAATTTTAATGGAAATCCCTCAGGGTAGTAAGGCCATGAGGTGACATTCATTCATAAAACTACCACCTTTAGGCTTTCTCAGGTAGTGCTACCAACAAGAAACGCTACTTCACGTTCAGTTAGTTGCATTGGTGCGAATATATCTTAGTACTGAGTACTTCACGATGTCATATCTTGAGTATCAGTAAACGAATAGTAAGTGGTGTTTTATTGTGTAGATCGAATTATGAAGATAACGCCTTTTCTTGAGGTAATATATATTTTTTATTTGTTTAAAGGGATGCAGCCTGGGAATTAGAACCGGGGGCTTATGCAGATCTTGTTCCCATTAGCGAATGTTCCTCTAATCTAGATGATGATTCACAAAGTGGCGGCACATCCACCTCATCATCTCAGTGTGATTGCGACGGGTGGAGCCAAAAAAATGTCGTTGGTCATGGGGGGCACGTTACACAAACTGGAAATGCATCATCTAGTGGGTCACCATCTACAGATCAGGAGCGTGTCCCAGTACTTCCACTTATATGGAACAACCAAAAATTCAAGAAAAGCCGTGGAAAAAAGCCTTCAGCTAGACGTCGGGTGCAAATACCTCAAGCCATTCCAAACACACCTGGACCAACTCGTGTTTCTCGTAGGCACACGTCCATTACAACACGAAGTATTCAGGATGATCACTCTCCTAATAGTGCTTTAAATGAGAGCAGACTACGTCAAGTAACCTTAGGATCTTTTCTTTCTGTTAGGACTCAGACTTCCCGGTAAATCCTTTTGCATTTCAGATTTTCTTAGTTTGTCTCTATTCACTTAATCTCGGACATTAAAAACTGAAGATTGCATATGTACATACAAAAAATTCTATTTGTTTTAGTAGATTCTTTTTCAGGAAAAGAGTAGCGTGTCTGCTTTATGTATGGTTTTATCGTTGTTATTGCTTATGAATATTTAAGGACTTAATAGAATACCATCAGTTTGGTAAACATGACCCTGTTTTGTAAGACTACACGATAATTTTGTAATCGTTATTTTCATTCTGTTCATCTTAAAGATCTCAATGTCTTTACAGTTATAAATTTAAGGACCGACTTTTATTTGGGATCCTCTGGTGGAGAAAATTAGACTTTGCAAATCCTTCAAGTATTATCAAACTACTTTTGTAAACAATGGTTTGTTTGTCTAAATCAGGACTTACACATTTTACATTATTTATTTAAGCGCATAAAATACAGTATAACAGTACCAGAGATGGAGTGCACCACACAAAATGTGGATAAAATCGTGAGGAAAAGGGGAGTACATTTAGAGAGAAAAATGCAGTCAATAAAATAATTAGTAAGAACGGTATGTGATAAAAGATACAGTCCGATCAACAGTACACACACAGAAATTCGAAATTCTGGTTAATTTCCTCTTTTGTTCATGAGGAAAATTACAGCAGGATCTCCGTTCGTTTATGTTATGATAACACGGTGCCAAGTCATAAATTGACTGCCGCTTTTTTCAACCACTCCTAGTGTCGGCAATTAACGTGCGCTGAGATGACATTTGTAACATCTCCAATTCTTCGAAGCCGGTGTTATAGGGTGGTGACATCAAGTGGATTGTCATCATTGTTCTCGAAAATTGCCGAATCTACACATTACTAATGTGATGTTGCCACTGAATGTCAGCAATTCCTCGAAGATGACGATAATCGGACATAGTCATCTAACATCCTTAACTTGTAGAGGTTAGGCTTCCCAAACATAGGACGAAACTGTTCTCACCGATGCGTTCTAGGCTTGACGTTTCGTAACCGGACCACCCTAGCTTTCACTGCACGCAAATTAATCTTTCCAGTCAAACCACTACCAATTTAAAACTACCTAGGTACAGGAACTTCCCGACTACTCCCAGCTACTTACCACCAAAGGTGAGTGCAGACAGGTTCATGCCAGTTTTGTAGAAGCACCTCGTATTCAGTCAGTCAGTTACAACGTAGAACGTACGTACATCAGTTCAAGTTGCCATACCACATTAACACAGAGATGCAGTTGTCGATTGAAATCCCATAGTGGTAGAAGTAGTAAGAGTATAAGCATTATGTGAAAGATAAGGGTTTGAAGATGTTATTGAAGGAGTATAATACAGTGAAATAAATTTGGAAAGAGAAAAAGGTCACAAATAATTCAGATTAGAAGTTGATAGAGCACAAAGAGTGGATGCACCTCCGCCATTGCAAACGATTTTGAGCCATGTCATTCAAGGTCTCTAACCATCGACTGCTATCATCTCGCGGATCCCAACCAGGTAGTCTACACCTACCAACATGACTCAGTCCACTTGTCAGCACCCTGTATTAAGGAGGTACAAGGTTCATACAATACCTGAGGACACTGATTGTTAACTCATTAAGTGCAATTCTAATAGACTTAGTATCATTGCAAGTCAAGACAATATCATCTGCATACTCATAATAGGAAAGTCTTCCTTCAAGCAACAGATCCACACCACTCCTACCTACTTCCATTGGAGGTGTTTCCAGTGTACAATCGATGGTAAAGTCGACGGGGCAACTCTGCCTAGCCTCACTGCTGAAACGGAGAGATGGTTGTATGCCCTCGCTCTGCCTGAAGTGCTCATATACAGAAGCTTCGAAATGTTCACAAACTTTTCCGACGCACCCTTCGACAAAAGATCACAGTTCTGTCTGACATCAAGAAACTTAACGACTTTTGATCCTCAACTATGATGCTCTAACATTTGGCGGAGGGCGAATACAATCAGTCAGTTAGTCAGCTACAACGTAGGACCAGGCACATTTATGCATCGGTCCAAGTTGCCATACCTCGTTAGCACAACAAGATGAACACCGGGTTCATAGAAGTAGTTAATTTAGTGGTGGTAGTAGTATATAAATTATAGGTTGTATACAAGGATATAGTACAGGAAGGAGGAGAGATATGAAGCAATTTTAGTCTCAAGGTTTAAAGGAAGATAAAGAGTGTATACACCTACGCCATTGTGATCGATTCTGAGCCATGTCACCTAGAGTCTCCAACCATTGGTTACGATAGTCACGCGGACCCCAACCAGGTAGTCTGCATCTGCCAACATGGCTCAGACTAGAATTTAGTGACTTCAAACACTGATGCCATGTTTTGGTTTGGCCGCCTCTAACTCTCTTCCAACAATCCCCTACACTAGTCATCATAGCGCGTCTTGGTAATCGGTGTTCAGGCGTACGTAACACGTGGCCTAACCATCTCAGTCAATGAAGATTCATCACCTCATCAACTGATTTACTATCATTTCTTAATACCCTACGTCGAACCTCACTATTACTTACCCGGTGGTCCCAACAGATGCGAGCAATATTTCTAAGGCATCTGTGATCAAATACTAGTAACTTACGAGTATCTTCTACCCTTAATGGCCATGTTTCACAGCCGTAAAGTAGAACAGAACGAACTGCTGCGCAGTATACTCGTCCCTTAATTGATAGATGGATATCTCGTCTTCGCCATAGGTGACGTAAGTTGGCAAAAGCTAAACGAGCTTTTTGAATCCGTGCTGAGATTTCGTCGGACACCAACCCATAAGGGCTGATCAGACTTCCAAGATAAGTGTATTAATTTAGTTACTAGCGTGTTAATACTAGCTGGTCACTGGTGTTTATTATTTGCCGTACCCTGATTCAAAACCGATGGGCTCCAGTATCCTGAAGGAACAAATGGCGTATGAACCAATTGTTGGTCACCGGCTACCATGGGACTGCATCTCCTTACGATGCTCCACTGTGGACTAGACCTTTAGGTCAAAGGCTCGGGGTGTGATCCCCTAAGAAAACCACCTGCTTCAGTCCGGGCAGTATCATAGCCCTCACACAAATCAGATGTTATTGCCCGAATGCCCAGACAGAATCAGGTCGTTTTCTTAGGGGCCCACACCCGGAGCCTTCGACCTAAAGGTCGTCAAAAGATGCAGTCCCATGGTAGCCGGTGAATAACAATTAGTTCATACACCATTTGTTCCCTCAGGATACTAGAGCCCATGTGTACCATTGGTCTGGAATCAGAATTTTCCACCTTCCCTAGGTGGACCCTCCGTGTCCACCAATCCGGTTGACGCAGATGATATACTTCTGTTTGGTGGAGACGCTGACGAAATGCAGTCTTTCGACCACCTTGAGCAACAGTGGAGACATATTTAAGTAAGATGCGATCTACTTCTGCAAATGCAACTTTAGGAATAATTTGAGTCAGCGCCCAAATTAATGGTAGAGAGTCAAGTAGTTGGACCTATTGACCGCTTCAATTATTTTAAGTCTTGATCCTTTGGTATCTGACGAAATCTCGACTTGCTTTCCCAACCTGGGTCACTTGTGGCATAGACGAGAGACATGTCTTGCGACCAGTTTGCCTCATTCTAATTTATGGATGTGAAACATGTCCTTTAAGAATAGAGGATATACGTAGGTTACTGGCATTCAATCATAGGTGTTGTCGATGCATTGCTCGCGTATTTTGGGACCACGAAGTGAGCAATGCGTAGATTAGGGATAGGGTATTAGTTAAGGACAGCAAATTGATTGAGGAGTTAGTGAATCTCCGCCAACTAAAGTGATCTTAACATATCCCCAATCACTGTCTATTTCGACGGGCGATACTGTCTGGTGTAGGCTGAAAGCCAAGAGCGGCCAAATATGGCTTCGGTCCACGAAGTCAACGACAGTTGGCCTAAGTTGTGGTAATAGGTGTAGGCTATGTGGTTGAGGTCAGGGTGGTTACCGTAACCAGTGGTCGGTTATCTCGAATAACATGGCTCAAAATCGTTTACAATGGCGCACATGAAACACTCTGTCTTCCCTCAAATTCGAAGCCTTTGAATTGCCCATAAATTTTGCTTCTATTTCACTGATTTGTGTTTTTTCGAATTGTCTAATTTTTGCTATTACCACTGATACTATAACTATCCCTAATATTTCGGAATTTGACCCGACAATTCTACCCCTTTGCGCTAACGGGATGTGAGAACTTCGACCGATGTATACACATACCAGGTTCTACGTTGTGACTGACTTTATATTTGTTAGTTTTTGTTTATCACGTTTAACAAGTCATAATACAGTGGAAAATTTTTTTAGGCTTTGTTGTGAAAGTCATTAGTATGATGGCACTTAATTATAGACAAGAGCGTCATGTCAGTTATTAAATTGGTCGACGTCTTTATAAAAAAGTCTACGAATATTAATAAGTGTACCTTATGGGTCTTAAAGCTTACTATTATCTCCATAATATCAGTTTATTGGTATGAAGCATTTTATGCCATATTGTCAAAATTTATGTGCTGTAAATAAATAATCATTATCGAGATGTTCTTAGGTAAAATTTAGTTGTCACGAGCCATATTGTTGGTTAACTGTCTTCCTGTTTATATATGCGATTTTGTGAATTGCTTTAAACGGAGCGCTCCATTTATAATTTGGTTTTTATAGTTAGGAAAGTCAATCTGTTAGCTTAACTTAATTTTAGTGTCAAAAAATCCATCTTAAAGTGGCTTATTTACAAAATTGTGACTTTCAATCAATTCTTGCATGGTTACCAAAAGTGGCCACTATATTCGCTTCTTCGTTGTTGTCATTATGTTATGGAAAATGCTGAATGGATTATATACTTTGGATTGCAAGCGTTTTATGGAAAAACCTATTTACATATTGGTAGGGAATAGATATGGGGTAATTTTTTCAGATTGGGAAGAAAGTGTTGTTACCTCGAAGATAGAGAAGAGCTGTCATCCACTTCAGAAATAATGATTCATTCTGGTTGCCTTTAGATTTGTATTTTTTTCCTTTGGATGACTATATCTTTAATCAACCGCTTCTGTTCCACAATAATATACTTGGTTGAGTTCACTTTATTAATGATGTATTGACCTGAAAGAGCGGTGAATGACACGCGAAGCCTTACTCCTAGTTGCACACTTGGACTTTTACCGTTCATCTATTCCCACGCACTTAGTTCACTGACATGTATTTGTGATATCAAAAGACTAATAAGATTACGAAAACACTATCACATTCGTAATGTAGTTTACACTTTAGGTTTTTTAGGGCGATACCGTTTTTTCTGTAGTCTTCTCATTTTTATTTGTCTTTTGCGTTCCTTTTTACTTAGCCACACTGGGTAGGTCCCATGTTCATTACATAGTATTTTCGGTAAGCTTTTGGAAACAACTAGAATGTTCAAATAAAGCATATTGTAATCTTACTATCCATGTGATTTGAAGTTGAGTCGACTGACTGTTCGGAAGAGACTGAGTTTTCTTCACTTTTCTTGATAGATCCTATTAACTGATCCTTGATTTTCTTAAAGCTACGTCTACGTTTAATCGCACGAAATCGCCTTTTAGATTTACTTCGAATACTTTTGGTCATTATGAACAAATCCTTTGATTGCTAGGTAGTCTAAAAATGTACGTCACAACTTGAAACGAAGTTTTACCTTCTGCTTCCTAAATGATCTGGGTACTATCAAGCTAACTGCGAAGGACAATTAGGTATTGAAATGTACGTGTTTAAGACGGATATCTGAAGGGAAAATGTAGGGTAAACTTAGCACATACGAAAAAAATGATGTGACGATTAACAAGATTTATGATACAACAATAAAATAAAACCCAGTACACTTACTTTATTTTTATAAAAGAATTAAAGATATTTTATGCTTTGTGGAGCATCAGTCCCCGACCGTTGCTGCTACCTTGATGTGGTGGTCGGGCTTGCCTATCGTGCTATACTGGCTGGAACAATCGTCCCTCAAGGTCCTACCATGCCAGGCAGGTTGGTTGAAGAGCGGTAAGACTAAAAGCAGCAAACCCAAGGTCCGAAGGCGAAGTCGTACTGCTGACTGTACAGAGGTGTGACAGCAGTAAGGTGTTTCCTTTAGACAACCAGCATAACAGCGATGCTGCCTTCCCATAAAGAGGGGCGGGGTTAGAAAAAGTCGACCCTAAAAATGCACACCTCGCCTTATCCCACGGATATCCGTCTCCGGTGGTAAGGTCCCAACAAGTACGGAGCTAACACAAAAAGGTCGTGTGTGACCGACTCAAGCAGTTGTTTCTTGGGCACTGCGGTCACGCTCTCAGGTCATTAGGACCACTCTTAATCCAATTTCCCTTTCACGGTGTGGGCAACCGGGAAGTGATAACTGCCCTCATACCTCTAACAGCACTCAAGACCACTGGATTCATAATCAATCTCCTTCTTCACTTCCCACTATTCCTTCTACCTCAACTTTCAACACTAAACTTCCTCTTCCGGTTTCCTCCTCAAGTGTCACCATGGCCAACGATTCTAGTGCGCGAAACGCTGTCCCAGGTCTACTAAAACCTCGCTCCAAACTACACATTGGAGCCATCAACGTACGTACTTTAAGTCAAATCGGTCAACAGGCCTCCTTAGTTAAAACCCTAAAATCTCGTACCATTGATGTATGCTGTGTCTCCGAAACACGCATACAGGATCCTAGTGTGGTCATTCACTTGACCTCACCTCGCCAAAATGGAGAGCCAAAGAAATACACCCTACGTGTATCTGGCGACCCCATAACTGGTTCTTGTGGACTTGGAGGTGTAGGCATAGCACTTAGTACGAGGGCAGAACAAGCACTACTAGAATGGATCCCCGTTAACAGTCGCCTGTGTGCTGTCCGGTCAAATGGCTCCGTAAGGACTCGGGACAGGGACACACGTCGTTGCCTTTCCGTCGTTTCTGCCTACGCTCCCACTGATTGCAGCCATGATGAAATGAAAGATGACTTTTACAGAAAGCTAAGCGCTCAGACATAGTAGTCGTAGCGAGTGACTTTAATGTCCAGGTAGACAGCTTAAGTCAAACAGAAAGACATTTAGGTGGGTGTTTTAGTATTCCGGCTCAACGAACCGATAATGGTGATCGTCTGTTGCAGCTATGCTCAGACAATCGTTTATTTTTAGCAAGCACTAACTTGAAACATAAGGAGAGACATCGCCTAACATGGCGACCACCTGCACCAAACCAACGATGGACTCAAATAGACCATATTGCCATCAGCCATCGTTGGAGAGGCTCGATAGAAGATTGTCGCTCCTATTGGAATACTTGTTTAGACCCTGATCACGCTTTAATACGGGCACGCATTTGTCTGCGCCTCACTGGACGCAGGAAAACTACACTAAGACCCATTAGGATTGAACTAGAGGACGAGAAATCCAAATGTAAATTCCAGGAACAACTGAGTTCACATCTAGGTAGTTCTGTAAATGAGACTGACTTAAATGCTGCTTGAAAAGACATACGAACAGCAGTCACATCTATTAGTAATTTAAACCATAGGGTTCCAAAAAACCGATAGATTTCTTCCAAGTCTATTTCACTGTTGGATTCGCGTAAATTCATCCCATCAGGCTCTGAACACGACGAAGAGCGTAAACAAATCAAATATAGGTTGACTAAAAGTCTGAGGAACGATCGTGAGCAGTGGTGGGCAACGGAAGCAAAAGAGATGGAAAAGGCAGCGGCTGTAGGCAACACCAGGCAACTCTTCAGACTAATAAAAGAAACCGGAATTAAGAAGTCAAGTGTAAGTGAGACAATCTCGGAAAAAGACGGAACCCTTATCTGCTCTCAGCCCAGACGTTTAGAACGATGGGCAGAACACTTTAAGGAGCAGTTCAGCTGGCCTTCAGCTACTGCACAACTATCCACTATTCCCAGACAGCCTGAATGGAACATTGAAGTAGGTCCCCCGACTTTAGCTGGAGTTCCAAATGTTGTAGCTAATCTGAAACGAGGAAGAGCAGCTAGTCCAGACAGTTTGGCTCCAGAGGTCTTTAAATATGGTGGTGCAATTTTAGCGACTAGGTTGACTAAAATCTGGGAGTTGGACGTAATCTCATCCGACTGGTCACAATCACTGATTGTCCTAATATATAAGAAGGGGTCAAAATCATCCTGCGATAACCATAGAGGGATTAGTCTGACTAACATAGCATCTGAAATTCTAGCTTCAATAATTATCGGGCGCCTAACTAAGACTCGTGAACTGCAAACACGAGAAAATCAGACTGGCTTCAGACCTGGTCGTGGCTGCATCGACCACATATTCACTATTCGTCAGGTTTTAGAACACAGACATGTTTATCGGCGTTCGACAATGATAGTTTTTCTTGACTTGAATGCAGCATTTGACTCTGTAGACCGAGAGGTTCTGTGGCAGTGTTTGTCACTGAAAGGTGTGCCTCAGAAGTACATAAACCTTGTGAAGGCTCTTTACTCGAACACTACCAGTCGAGTGAGAGCTTATGACGAACTGTCATATGATTTTACAACAAGTGGTGTCCGACAAGGATGTCCACTATCCCCATTTTTGTTTAACTTCATTATAGACCTGTTGCTTGAAATAACACTGTCGTCGACTGAATTTTCAGGAATTGATCTTCTACCAGGAGGTTCACTTATCGGCTTAGGATACGCAGATGACATAGTCCTGTTTGGTGAAGACGCTGACAAAATGCAGTCTTCTCTTAGAACTGGGTAATAATGCCAGAATGTTTGGGATGCGTTTCTCCCCATCTAAATGTAAATTGTTACTCCAGGACTGGCCTACGTCAACGCCTGAACTAAGGATAGGGAGCGAAGTAGTCGAGCGCGTCGACAGCTTCACTTATCTTGGAAGTCTGATCAGCCCTTATGGGTTGGTGTCCGACGAAATCTCAGCACGGATTCAAAAAGCTCGTTTAGCTTTTGCCAACTTACGTCACCTATGGCGAAGACGAGATATCCATCTATCAATTAAGGGACGAGTATACTGCGCAGCAGTTCGTTCTGTTCTACTTTACGGCTGTGAAACATGGCCATTAAGGGTAGAAGATACTCGTAAGTTGCTAGTATTTGATCACAGATGCCTTAGAAATATTGCTCGCATCTGTTGGGACCACCGGGTAAGTAATAGTGAGGTTCGACGTAGGGTATTAAGAAATGATAGTAAATCAGTTGATGAGGTGATGAATCTTCATTGACTGAGATGGTTAGGCCACGTGTTACGTACGCCTGAACACCGATTACCAAGACGCGCTATGATGACTAGTGTAGGGGATGGTTGAAAAAGAGTTAGGGGCGGCCAAACCAAAACATGGCATCAGTGTTTGAAGTCACTTACTTCTAGTCTGAGCCATGTTAGTAGATGCAGACTACTTGGTTGGGGTCCGCGTGACTGGTTGGAGACTCTGAGTGACATGGCTCAGAATCGATCACAATGGCGTAGGTGTATACACTCTTTATCTTCCCTTAAACCTTAAGATTAAAATTGTTTCATAACGTTCTTCCGTCCTACACTATATCCTTATATACAACCTATCTTTTATATACTACCACCACCACTAAACTAACTATTTCTATGAATCCGGTGTTCATCTTGCTGTTCTAACGAGGTATGGCAACTTGGACCGATGCATATATGTGCCTGGTCTTACGTTGTAGCTGACTGACTGACTGGAGCATCAGTCCTTGCATCCACATAACAAGTGTGAATAACCCTCACAATATTAGATAGACATTTTGAATGTGCTAATTTTCTAAACTTAAATATCAGTGACATTTGTCACAATCCACACAAAGGAAGACATCACGGGAATCAGCATATCTAAAATAAGCATAGCACTCTGTCTCAAATATGAGTCTTGAGAATACACTTTACGGTAAAGGTTAGTTTTTTATTTCTACCTTATTTCTTTCAAGTGTTACACTATTTTTGATACTTCGCATAGTGCATATACACTGGTAAACTACAAAAATTAGAAGCCTATGTCTCTAATAACACGAAACGTATGAAGTTCAAAATGATCAGTACCTTATATGGACAGAAACTTATAGAAAAAAATCAAATACATTTTGAAGTGGTGAAAGAAATTGGCAATAAATTATAGATGCACACCTTGATGTATCACCAAGAGAATTTAGTGAACGACTACATTTTAGGAAGTTTTGCATCTAAATGTTTGCCGGTATCAATATATAAATAATATTAACAGTTGAGATCATGAGTCAATTGAAGCTAGACTACCACGGAACACCTGGTCTAGCTACAATTGACTCATGACCTCAACTATCAAAGTTACTATAATATCCACAAAAACCCCTTCTGATATAAATAATCCTTTAGAAGTTCAATTAGTGGTCGGTTTCTAAAACAGTCTTATTCAGAACGTCAATAGATATTCAGAGAGTCGATCTTCCACTAGTTGTTTTTATCAAATTTACTTGTCCTGCAAAATCGATATTAACATGGTAAACATAAATTCGTACATTAGGAGCTAACTGATGTTAATGAAGCTTTCATTAAAACTACTTACACCAGGTCACGTTCAAGGACGACTGGTCTCAAAACATGAGGG